TCATACTCTGTTAATGATTGAACTGTAAACAGAGTTATGGCTGAGCAACTATGTTCTGATACTGAGGTCCGTACATAGTTTAGCTCTATCATGTTCTTTGTTTTGGCTTAACTCGATGAGTGAATCCAGTTGTAGTTTGCGAGATGCAGTGGCTCTATTCATATGTCTATGTTGTGCTAACCTGTGGTTTATTTTAATCATGGATTGTAGAATTGGCTACTGTAGTTTCACATAACATGCAAATTAAAAGAAATTGCATTTTGGTTGTGTTTGGAGAACCCAGCTGCTATTGGGCTATGTGCTGAGCAAATAAAAATGGATTACTATGCCTTAATGGTGGTTAAGGGATTTTCTGTCCATATTTTGTGGAAGCAAATCTTTCTGTGGTGGTTTAACAACCAGATTGTTAAAATCTGAATGATGCAATCCTTAGCCGCTCTTAAGACAGGAAAAAGGAACTGCTGAAGAGGAACGGTGCACAGACATACTGCCATTTTTTAGTTTTGCAATCTCCTTCATTTGCCCATGTTGGTATATTGATTGGTTCAGGCAGAGTATAATATAAATGAATTTTAAGAGGTACATGTTTATTTCAGAACAAGCGATAAAGCCCATTCATTCTGAAATTAGTGGGCATCCCTAATGACTAAGAATGAAAATTAGTTCAGTCAAACTAAACTTGATGCAGGTTTCTTACTATCTGAGTTTTATATCCAGTGTTTGCATCTATAGGTACGTTGCCCCTGTTCTTTGTCAAGGAAGAATTTGTTGATAGAAGACTACTTTTGTCTAGTGCTGTTTGAGCATCTTTTAAGCTAAAGGCTCTCATTACATCTTGTGGGATTGAATTCTAGAAAATCATTATGTTTAAGGTATATTTCTGTCTGGCTTTCATGAAGTCCTTGTTGGTTGGTTCCATTGCATGATGTGATGCTTTTTTTAGTAGAAAGTAAATCTTAATAAACTCATGTTGATAAAAATAATTGTTTGCATTTGCAAAGCTTGCCAACCAAACCAACTCTCTCTGGAATATTCAGGAAAGTGAGAAATTGCTACTAGCTGTAGGACTTTGTCAACAGATTTTGTTAGCATTTTAATGTAGAACTTTTGAACGTGAAATAACAATTTGAGTTCTATTAGAAAGAAGTCAAACTGAAGCATGTAGGAATTTGGTTCTCTCTCTCTCTCTCCCCCCCCCCTTAACTTCCTTTTAGGCTACGTGCTATGAATCTCCCTTCCCCGGAAATTACTCTTTTCTGAGCTCAGTTTCTCAATGACTTGCCTCATGTTTGGCATCTGAAACAAACAATCCTTGAATCACGGAATAACCTGAATGCTTTTGTTCTGAATGATAGATTACTGAATGGATCACTTTTCTTCCGCCCTTAAAGCATAGATGATGACGATTAAATTCATTTAAGTCTTACCATTTTTGTTTAAAAAGCACCCAAAGCATGAAAAGAATAAATAATATACACAAAACAGAATAAATGTTTGTGTCTCAACAAAATTAAATATATAAAAATTTTATTGTCATTTTAAGTTGTTTTTTAAAAAAGCCTACTTAAGTAAAATGGTTTTTGCTGCTGGAAAAAAATAGGGATCAGATGTTCTTTGGGGAGTCTCTTCCAACTTCTGCAGGTCTCAGTGAAAAATATACCAAAACCTGGATGGCTGCAGGACCTGAAGGAGGCTTCTGGATAGGGGTGGGGATGTAATTCTGGAACAATTCAGTTCAGACTATTCTGTTAGTATACATCTTTTGGGAAGGGCCAATGCCTCTGATGAGAAACGCCCTTTACTCTCTTTCTGGTCTTTCCTCCATTTGCTATGTCAATTCCAAATATTGGTCTTCATCTCTGGGGAGGGGGAGGGGGGAGCCAGATGACCTGTTATGGGTGTGAACTGGAGTGGAGTTTGTGGGAAGGTATGGTTGTGCCCCTTCTTTCTGGTCACTAGCTGGAGGAATATATGAGACCTGGCAACGGCCAAACATAGATCAATGTTTAGTAGCTTCAAATTACTGATAAGCCAACCCATGAGGACAATGTTTTAGAAGCAGATGGCAGTATCTTGCAGGCCTTGGCTGAATAGATCAAGATTAGCAATTTCCTCCAATCATGTGTGCAGTTGAACTTCCAAACCTAACAGGTTTGCAGATGTAATAGGGCTGTTTCAGTATCTTCGCCATCTGTATAGAGTAACTTTCCACAAGATTTGGCAGCTTAACTGATCTTCAAGCTAAGCAGGCTTAGCCTTCATTAGTATTTAGAAGGGAGACAATCCAGAACTATAAGAGAAATAAAACATCCTGGAGGAAGACAGTGGCAAGCCACTTCTGCAATACTGCCAATAAAAATGCATGGATCTAATCACCAGGAATCAAGTGTGACTCAATATTTTTACACTTATGAACTTCGCATTTATCTCTATGATGGAAGCTACAACCTTAGCAACCTAATTTATGGTGGCAGTTCCTCTGACCAGAGCAGTGAGGGCTTGTGGTGTGTTAATTTTTTTTTTTTCTGGCAGCCAAAGGATGGTGAGTTCATTATTTCTAGAAATTGGAAATTGTAGTATGCAGTTATATGTAACTATAAGATTGCTATTTGCCCACTCTTAATTTAGGACTCTGAAAGTCAAAGACATCATGTCAGATTGAGTCTAGAAGTATGGAAAATGCAACTTTATACTGGATTTCTGATTATTTGAAGCTTTCACATTGCTTTGAGGCAGCTCCTTAAAAAGTGTATTATAAAAGTATAGTTATATATACTATATATATAACTATGTACCTATAGTTACATAGTTATAATGTATGTACTATACATTATGTACTATACATTATAACTATGTAATATATATACAATGTACTATATATATATATAGTACATTACATTAAGCCATAATATTTGTGTGAACTCAGCCAGCTGTGGTTTATTCAATAAACCATGACTAACACAAAATCTCTAGGTTTAACTAGGTCTAAACTAGGCTTAAAGTGGCTGAGGCCAGAACTGATTTTTTTTCAGGAAATGATATAGTTGGCATATAAAGACATTCTAATCTATGTGCAGAAAGAGCAAGAGGTTACTATATGCCCTGTAGCTGGATGTAATATGTATACATGAAAGAAACCTCACTGAATTTGGTGAGATTTTAATTTACAGCAAACATGCATGGGTTTTTCAGCCTTAGGGTCAGTCAGGAACCTGGATGAATTTGAAGGATTTTGCTACAGGATATGTCTTTTCTTATGTGTATTTTTTAAAAAATCTGCATTTTTGAGAAATGTCATGCTCACTGTAACAGTAAATTTGATTTCCCAATCAAGTGATTCCACATTTTTTACTTAGTATATAGTACAGTACAGACCTGACCATTGTGGTTTGTACCTGTGATTATGGGTCTAGGTGTTATGTGAATGAAGCTAATTGTGGATTATTCAAGAAACGTGAACATAGTACGGCATGTGATTTCAGCTAATAGCTGTATTCGGACGTAATGACCAGTCAGAGTGTGCGCTCACACGCTTTGCTCCTTTCAGTGGCATTGAACAAAACAGGTATAGCTGGTTCAGTGAGAATGCTAGCTAATTTAAAACAAAAAAAGTTAGGATTCATAAACCAGAAACAAACCCTGATAGTTCTGTGGGGCAAAACCATAACCTCCTGTTTGAGTAACACTAAATTAAGCAAAATATCCTCTCCCCTCAAAAGAACTTGTAAAAGTGGGATGCAATGGGATGAGGGCCTTATCTCCCCTTCTAGTTTCAAGCATGTATGGACCCAGTGGGAGCATAAGTTTCTTTCAGGCATAGAGGTAATTTGGACCTCAGCCATTCAGAATGTTTTTTCCTAAATGCTGATTAAATTGTTGTATTAAACCTACAGGAATAATTTTGTTCTTTAAAAAAAAATTCTAATTCTCTCTCTCTCTCTCTCTCTTTTTTTATTAGGTCACGGGTCATTTAGATGATTGCACTTGTGATGTAGAGACTATTGATACCTTCAACAACTACAAAATTTTCCCCCAATTGCAAGAACTTCTTCAAAGTGATTATTTCAGATATTACAAGGTAGCTTTTCGAATTTATTTACTTTTCAGACACATATACACCCTTATTAATCATGGCATTCTCCTTCGGGATAAGCAGTTTTATGCAGAGTGGAGTAAGAAATACTAAACCAAAGAAATTAAAAACAAAGTAAGAAAAAACAGGTAAAACTTTCTATGCTTACAAACCATCCTATTACTATTGCCCCATTTTATAAGCTGCCTTCTTTAAACTTCTCACCTCTCTTTTTTGAGGATCTCACCAGCTCCATCCAGCCACAACATTTTTAATTTTTCTGGCTGGGGAATTCTGGGAGTCAAAGTCTACACATCTTAAAGTTGCCAAGTTTGAAAAACACTGCTCCACATGATGAATCCTACTCACTTATTTTGTACTGATCACTTCTGTATTTAACCCACGTTCATTCTGCACCCATTCATTCTTGACCTTATCAAGGGGAATCACACATCCTCTTTTCTTCCCTGCTTAGCCATTGAACTAATCTCTAAACTGTCCACATATTTTCATGCTCGCTTTATTTCTACTACATACAGCTGTTAACACATACAGCAACCAACTTTCAGCTTCTTATTCACACAAAGTAGTCTGTAATTCATTTCATGATACTTTTTCTCTAAGTCCAAAAATGTACAATATGTTTTAACATTTCTCCAGTTAAAACAACTGCATCTTTCACATTTTTAACTTCCTCACAGCATTTGTGATTTCTTTTCATCATCTTTTTCATTGGGACTAACATTTATAGCATTCATTTCAGCTACACATGACATATGTACATATGACTCTCACCCTGAAATAAACCTCTAAATTACTCCTTCCAACATTTCCTCACTTCAGTTTCATCCCACATCATTTCATCATTTTTCTTTGTAATCCTGTTCACTTTTCTTGGGGCTCTTTCTTTAGTGGGCTTCCAAAACAAGTTTTTCCATCAGAATTGCCCTGTATTTTCTCAGCCCCTAATAATCTTTATTCTTTCTTGCTGTCTGTAACTGCATTATTTATATCTGATTTCCCTACATCTGCATCATGCAATAACTTTGTCATTTTCTATTTTTCCAGCATTCATTCTCATCTATGCATTGTTCCCTATCCAGAAGTTGTTATACTTCATAATTTTACCAAGTATCCTTTTTCATACTGCTAATATAACTCCATAAACACCTGTGGTATCCTGAACTAATTCTTTTCACATTGTTACAAGTAGCTTCCACGTTCTCTTTCCATCCATTCATTTAGATTAATTTAACTTCTAATACTTTTTCATATTCTTCAGGACCAAGTCAGCATTTTCTGTTTTTTTTAAATGCTTATTTTGTAAGAATGCACATTGTACATATGTAGATATGTTTACTTTTTTTAAGGAATCAAATCTAAGACAAAGGTATTAGTACTAGTGCTCAAGTTATTAAAATGATATGCAGTTAAGAAAAAAAAAGTTACTTATGTGGTATACGCTCTAATGGGCTGCCAAAAATAATTGCATTTACTTCCAGCAGCTAGTTTTATGCAGTTCAGCACATTTTTCAGTTCCATGGCTAGGCTTGGGTAGAATATGTGGCATTCTGATTATTCTAGAACCACAGAAGAGTGTGTAGAAGGAAGCATTAAACATAGGAATGACCAGACTTTTATTTCATCTTTGGTCTGTCTGTTATTTAAAAACAGCACTCACTCTTTTCTCCTTTTTTCCAGGTTAACCTGAAGAAGCCTTGTCCTTTCTGGAGTGACAGTAGTCACTGTGGAATTAGAGACTGTGCTGTTTATCCATGCACATCTGTAAGTACAAGGAAACAAAATAAAATTCTTTTCTATTTTCCAATATCTGCTTTCTGCTTTATGGAGGATTCAAATGCCAAACCTTGACAATATCCCAGCATGCTTCCTTGTTTATTTTGTTGTGGGAAATGTAATAGAAAATCTCTCTGTTTGTTGTATCAGTTCTTTAAGAAGAACAGTCTAGCTTCTGTTTCTGCTGTGATGATATGACTCCCTGTACATGCTCAGGAAATACATAGCTCTCCCTGCCTGTTCATGGAGCCCAGCTCGCACTGCTAGCTCGGCTTCCTCTCCAGATGAGGGGCAGCAAATATTTCTGTAGGTTTTCATCAGGGGAGGAGGGAGATATATTCCATCAGTGGAGAGCTCTAGCCTTTGCAACCCCTTGTTACCTCTGCAGCCCCTGTAATACATTGAAAGCAGATATGTAAACATCACACCTTCAACCAGCAAGTGCTACATGGACATGGCAGTACATTCAGAGTACTGCTTGGTTCTCTGTCTATAGCAGCTTTCTTCAACCTGGAACCTGCCAGATTCTCAAAAGTGAATGGATAGTTTTTACATGACGAAAACTTGTATGATTAAAACCAGGTAGCTGAAGGACCACTATGCCCCCATGTCCTTTAAGATCTTTTGGTGAGGTCTATTTTCTGGCCCACCTTCTGGTTTGGGTGGATGGAAATTAAGGGTTCCTCAGTAGTGGGGTCCTAGTCCTGGAATATCTTTTCCGATTCCTGTACTTTGTACTTATTTATAAGAATGTTAAGAATTAGTTTATTGGACTAGGATTTTTAATCTTTTTTTAAAATTGGCAGCTTTTTAGTTTTTATTGGCTTATTGTTACATCTTTGATGCTTCTAATTTATTTCCCCCGGTTGACATTATTCTGCTTATATAGATTATTGGATGATTTTTGTGATGCCTGTTCTATTGGTTAATTTCTGGTTTGAAAATAATTTAATTTGAAGGAGGATTAAGTATGTCTTATTTTGTGACAAGGCTAATAATAATTAAAGAATTACAAAAAGGATCATGACTGAGCAAAAAGCAGGCCATTGGTTTATAGAGTGTTGCATAAACTTGCCCATTCTGGATTGTAAGCTAAGTTTTAACTTGAAGCATTAAGCTGCTATTATGGCTTGCCGAAGAAAACGTAGTTAAAAATCGTGGCTTAATGTGACCCTTGAAATCAGATATGACAATTCTTGCTTTACACTTCCTATTCAAATTGTTCTTCCAGCAAAAATGGTTGGTTGACAAGAAAGTTAAAACACTGTGGTTTTACACTGGCATATTAAACAAACACATCAAGCTTGATCTCATGATCTCTTATTTTCAGGATGAGGTCCCTGGTGGAATTAGATCAGAGAGTTATAAGGTAAGTAACAATCAGGTCCAGTCAGAACTTACTGAATTCAGGATAACTATTCTGTTCTCTGTGTGTGTCTGAAGACAGAAGCACTGGTTTTTCTTAGCATTTAATGTTAATCAGATGCTAATGCTAATGACAACTTGAGTCATGAGCCATTGTGATAGCCAGGAACCAACTTAGCTAGGCCTGTCATTTCCAGCTTCTGTCCAATATGGACCAACATATCTAACAGATTTGTGTTTTAGTAAAAGCAAAGTATTTTTTTGCCTCAGGAGATAATTTAAGTGTTGTGCACTTAAGGTCACAAAGAAACATACATCCCTAAAAAAGCTCTTAAGTTTGTCCAGTAACTTTTAGGCTAATGATTTGGCTAAAATAGAGACAAGAGGAATTTTAAGCATAGAGCAATTGATCACAAGGAAGTGGGTGAGGGATCCTGAGTGGCACATGGGCCATCTGGTAGCCCTTCACAGGCTGTAGTTGATTTGGGGATTACTGGTTGCCAATCCCACAGAGGTGAGTGCACTTGGATCAGTTCCTCATCTCCTGTCATCTTGTTTTATAGTATTCAGAAGCAGCTGCTGCCACCACCTTTGCTGAAGGCTGTGAAGGAGAAAACCTTGGGGCTGTTGACAAATCTTTGAGGTATAATTTGTTTTTCTGGATAAACTTGGGTGGGGTCACATGCATTTTCTTTCTCCCCTAGAAGTTATTCTCTGTGTACACAGACAGTAAGTAATTCAACTACTTAATCTTACCTTAGAAGCATGTTTTCAGGGACTTCTGCAGGCATGGCTACTTCTCTGAGTGGGCTTAGAAGAAAAGGGGGAGTTTTTCCAGCTTAGTAACAGCCCTTGCTGTTACTCCAGCCACTTGCGATAGCTGTGGTAGATGGCCTATGCAGCACAGTGTGCTTAGCCATAGGTTTTAATAGAAGAAAATATATGTAGCTCAGGGTTGAACTGTGGAGTCCTTGGTATTCTGAGCTTGGTTGTTTGCTTGCAGAAGTTTCATTACCCGACTAGGTAACATCTTCAGTGCTGGACAGTGACATAACCTAGTCAGGTAATGAAATGTCTTCAATCAAACAACCAAGCTCAGAGAGCACCAAGGACTCCATAATTAAGGTTTGTTGTATAAACTATAATAGTTGTGTTTGCACATCACACTAAGTTATAAACTGAGGTTTACAAATCACAGTTGTTGGTTCATACAATGTAAATCAAAACCAAACCAATATTATTATGTTTTAGTGTAGTGTGTGAATCCAAGTGGTGTTACAGTTATGTGTCCACCCATGTTCATGTGCCAAATTCAGGGTTCCTGCAGGCCCTCTTAACTGTTGCTAAACAGTGTTCTTGGGCATGCTGATACTAGGTGTGACACTTTCCCACCTCTCACAGTCATTTAACCCAGATCCCCTTTTTTATGTAGAATCATTTTCATGTATGTGAATGACAGACATTTTCTCACTTATTTTGCAGTGAAGAAACTGCACGGGCTATGATTCAGTGGACTCGGCATGACGATTCTTCAGAAAACTTTTGTGAAGCTGATGGTACTGTTGGTGTCTCCAATGCCTGTGTTTCTGTTGGGGCATCTAAGGTGGTTGTGAGGATTCAAAGAAAGTTGACATGTGCATTTGGATACACAGAGACATGTCTGTTATCTTGATGGTCCCCTTCTTACTATTATGTTCAATTTAAACTCCTCTAAATAACCTGGAGTGGGGGGGTGGGGAGAAGAAAAAAGACAAAAGATGTGGTCCAAGTTATGGTACTTGCCATTTGTTTTGTTATATGATGCAAACAGAAACTACCCTTGGGCATTATCTAGATGGTTGGGGAATAGCTGTATGTATTCACAAGCAGGGTCATCTGTAGGAGCTTTCAATGACATCAAAATGGCAGGTGTGACCAGGGTGATCAAGGCTGTCCCTTTTTACATGTGTAGGCTGGGCGCAGTGCACTTTAAAAGGGAGCAGGGTTTTGACTGCCCAGTCATGCCCAGGATTTTGATATTGATACCCCTGTGGATACCCCTGTTCACAAGTCTGCCCTGTTCATATAAAAAGCACCTAAGGAATTTTAACACCAATTTTAACACCAAAAGAGATAATGGGGGAAAACAAGTGAACCCTCTTACTTTCATACTTTAACTTCAAGCACTCAGTCCTCTGACTTCCAACACTGGAGCCCGATTGGGTGATAAATCCATTTTTGGCTGGGGAAAGTATAGGAAATAAGAAATCATTATATTTTTCTCATTTATATATGTTTTTAAATACTAAAGTTAGATATATAGTCCCTTTCTTGCCCTCCCCATTTTATAGATCAATAGGCCATGTACATGAACACTAGACATAGTTGCCCCTAAGATAACAAGGTTGGCCCTGAATCTTTCCTTTGCTAAAAAAAAAAAAAAAAAAACCAGACATGCATGTAGCTACTATAGCTCTATACTGAATTTGGTTGCATGCGACCCAGCATGATGGAAGCTGCATAGAATCATAGAATGCAAGGGTTGGAATAGACTTTAGAAAACATTTTGTCCAATTCCCTGCCTGGTGTAGGAATCTGCTACCACAGCATCCATCTAGCCTCTGTCTCAACTCTTTCCAGTGAAAGAGAGTCCACTACTTCCTGAGGCAATCTGGTGCTCAGGAAATTTTTCATTATGCCCAACTGACGTCTATTTCCTTTAATGTAAGTCCAATGTGTCTTTTTCTGGAACAACACTGAACAATTCTGCCCTCTCTTCTACATGGCACTGCTTCAGATGCCTGAAGACATATGTCCATGCTGTCTTCTCTTCTTTAAGCTAAACATATCCAATGCCGCCAATAATTCTTTGTAGTTTTTTTTCCTCACCAGGCCTTTTATCATCTTGATTGCTCTCCTCTGGACATGCTCCAGTTTGTCAGTGTTGTTCCTAAAATGTGCTCAGAACTGGATGCAAGTTTCTTGGTTAGAATGCACTCTGACCAACAAAGAAGAAGTGTGATTTGACCAATGCAGAAGATAGCACCTTCTCTCATTTTTAGGGAAGCCAGTAGCAGTTCCTCTGTTTGTAGAATGAAATGATACCAAACCATCATGGAAGTTTTTGATAGTTTTATCAGGCTCTTGCCTGACTAAATGAGGGGGAGTGTGCCTTGCACAGCATGAGTCCACAACTGAGAAAGTTTTGCCTTTTCCCCCCATCTGTTTCACTTTGGAAAAAGTGGAATGCCCTGAGATGAAAAACAGCAAAAACAGTTAGCAGGATGCTTTCTAGAATACGTTCTTATTCTCTTTGTCTCTCTTTTTAATGCAGTACTTTTTCCTTCCTAGATATCCATTCTCCTGAAGCAGAGTATGTAGATTTGCTTCTTAATCCAGAACGTTACACTGGCTATAAAGGGCCTGAAGCCTGGAAGATTTGGAACAGTATTTATGAAGAAAACTGTTTTAAGTATGTATATTTGGCCAGGCTTTAAGGTCTTGAGGTTTGTTTGTTTTTTGTTTTTGTTTTTTTTAAGATACTCAGTTATCTTCCTCCTGGCTAGGGATTTTCTAGGGATTTCTAACAGTGGGCTATTTATTTATCTTCTTAACATCTTTATATCCTGCTTCTCAATCTAGTTGCTGAAGTAACCTCAAAAACAGCAAAATAATAGAATAGTTTCAAGTCTCAGTACATCAAAAACTTAAGATGCTTTTAAATGTCTTTCAAAGAGTGAACAAGTAACAGCACTTTAAATATGTGCTAAGGCACTGACTCACATACTGTGCTAACTTAGTTAACAATGGCTTATTGAAAAATCTGGAGTTGGCAACCAAATCCATGCTCTGCAAACCACAGTGGTTATATTTTCACAACATGCTGAGCTAAAACATGTTGTTTAGTAAAAGGATAGGGTTATCTTGTGGCTTATCTTGGGGACCTCTGCTATGCATAAACATGTTCCCAATACAGATCTCAGCTCTGCCACAAATTCCTTTGGTGACCTTTGGCAAAGTATTTTTTTCATCCTTTGTTTCCTATACCCCCGTATTTTCAGACTACTACAATACAGTTATGGTTTTACTATTTTTAGTGCTGTTTTTGTGGTGGTATTTTGCTTCCCCAATTAATGGCACTCATATCTGAAGGAGTTATGATAAAAAAAAAAGCAGATTTCATTTACTTTCGTTACATTTTTTGCCCCATCTGCTTTTTTCACATCAAAGGTTCACAATGGCCAGGATAATTTGATTACCACACATTCAGCTCATTTCAAAACTTAGAGCAGTAGGTGGGGAGTGGGGAATCCTTTATATCAAGTTCTCCAATTTGGTGCCTTCCAGAGGTGGTGGCTAGGAAACTCTGGGAATCGTAGTCCAAACACATTTGGAAGGTTTTTCATGGGGAAAATCTGTTCTGTATCAGCCAGAAAAAGGCATGCAGTTCAAATTCTTGGAGATTCTATGTAGATATGAATGATTAATTCTTGTAGAGTTAGCCATCTCCTAGAGCTCTACTGAGAGCATACATCACCAACATATAACCTGACTTGACCTAAGGTAGCATCTTATGCACTTCCTAGTCCCCACTCACTTCTGAAACTCAGAGTGATTTGTGGCCAGTCCTGTCTTAGCTTAACCTACTTCACAGGACTGTTGGGCTGGGGGTGAACTCTGTATATCACCTTGAGCTTCAGGAAGGAAGGCAGAATAGATAGCTAATAAATAAATTGAGCACACTAGAGAAAACATGGCTGTTTGACTAGAATAATATAAAGGAGCACCCTGTCTTGCTGCTACTTCTTAAAGATGTCTGTCTTGTTACTTTTTTTTTTTTTTGGCCACTGAGTCAGTCTTGAATCCTGGGGATTATATGGATAAATCCATGTAGTTTTCTAGGTAACCTTTTCAGAAGTAGTTTGCTACTCCCTTCTTTCGAGGACTAGAGTGACTCACCCAAAGGTACCCAGTTAGCTTCCATACCTAAGACAGGACTAAGACTCAAGTTTCCCCACTCCCAATCCAGTGCCTTAATCACTAGACCAAACTGGCTGTCATCTACTTGTCACTGGTTAAATATGGAAAGAATTATACCAATGTGAAAATCTTTAGATTCTTCCCTGGTTTCAGGGAATCGATTAAAGCTGACATCCCCACCCAGGTGCTGTGTTGGATTATAGTTTCCATCATCCCCAGCAATGCCAATTGCATGGGATTAGTAGCCCAATAGATCTGGAAGGTGCCAGGTTGAGGATAAATCAGAGTTTATCCTTGAAGATGTCTGAAAGTTTGCCTTCTCCCACATAAACTGGAGAACCTTTTCTATTCTTTTGAAATTAGAAAGATGCACCTACGGGTAAGGTGGAATGCTTCTCCATAAATATTGGTCTAGTTCACTCCCTTTAGCCTTTAGGCCACAGTTAAAAGTGGTTTTATTTGGTAGAAGCTGCAATGAATATAATCCATTTCTATGGCAGTCAATTGATTTTAGTTATGTCTTTATCCAGTATTATTTGTAGATGGTTTTAACTATAAATAATTAAAATATGTTTATCTTATAGGCCTCGCTCCATAAAAAGGCCTTTAAATCCACTGGTTTCTGGCAGAGGTAAGCTCATCTTCTTTCTATTATGTCAGAGAAATTTGGTGTGCATGGAGTTGTCATGTGTTTGGCAAGAATTAAGGTTGTTGATAAAATGAGAGGTGGGCAAAATTCAAATTAAATTAAGAACATTTTCAGATGCCTGTTTAATGTCACATTGCATGCTGCTATACGAAAATTTGCATGCTGCTATATGAAAATTTCTCTAAATGTGGGAGGGGGCAGACAAAAGGGGAGAAAATGGCATATAGGAATGGAATAGAGAAGGTGTTCAAAAATAGAAAGGAATAAAGCAAATAGGAAACAATGCATTCCTAAGACAGAGCTCACTTAACAAAAAGCATATAGTTCAATGGATAAAAAATGTAGGCTACAAGGAGTATAGGTGATGCTGGCAGAAGTCCAAAGGGGCCTGAATAAGATTCTTTGTAGAATAGGAATAATGCTACAATATTTTGATTAGATCCATGCCTCTCCGCCTGGAGATCTGGAATAAATTATGTAAGTCTGATCAATGACTGAAATAAAGTAGTTTGACTCTGAATCATGTAAGTCTGGAAAAAAAGCATAATAAATTCAGCAAAGCAAGGTAAGATCATGAATATTTTAAAAAGATGTTCTAGTTCTTGGAGTGGAACGGAGATTGCTGGTGCACAAGCTTAATATTTTTAGTACCAATTGTAGTACATTGTGTTAGGCAATGGGTGCTCACTAGGGGCTTTGGACTGCAACTCCCATAATCCTTTGCTATTGGCTATACTGTCTGGGGTTGATGGGAGAGGAAATCCAAAACATCCAGAGGCAAATGTTTTCTACTTTATGAGAGCAGTCATGCTCGTAAAAGTAGCCTAAAAATAGCTTAAAACATTTCATCTGATTGAAATGTAATCTTTCCTTTTCTATTTTTAATTTGCTTTTGCAGGAGCAAGAGAAAATGAAGGTGAGTGCATTCCCAGCAGTAACCAAGGAGGAATCCATAGAGGATAGATATATTGACAGGTATTAATTGGCCATTGGAAAGAAAAATGTCAGGATTTAGCAAAACGTACATTGACTGCTACTTCTTACTCCATGCTCAATCTTCCAGAATTAGACACCCTCCAGATGTGTTGGGACATGGTCATGTTGGCTGGAGGTGCCAGGTGCAGAAAGGCTATGCTAGGTGATATCTACCTGAGCATGTCCTTCTTTTTAACAGACCTTCATTCTGGCTGTTGGGGCCAGCATATACTGATGCATTAGCTGATAGGATTGGAGCTAAGAAGTGAAAGAATTAAGACCACCTTGCTAATGTGTGCAGCAGAAGGAAATGGATGTGCCTCCTTCAGAGTCGTGAGATGCAATTTTGAGAGGAGTCTCTGCTTTTGGAAAAATTCTTCATATACTCTATTGGCCAGCCTTGGCATTAGATGCAACAAATGAGGCTATCATAGATATCTCTGTGTTGTGGAAAAACCTTTGTGATGGCTGTCTTTCTCTCTTTCCAGGGAATATGTTTTACACCTGGTTGCAAGGTAACTGATTTTTCTGCCACTTTAACTAATGCAGTGTTGATTATGTTGCAGATGCAATGTGGATTGCATGAGATTTCTACCCTCTGAATTGCCATAGTTGTCTCTCAATCTTTCTTACAGGTCTCTGTGTGGAGAAGAGAGCTTTCTACAAGCTCATTTCTGGTCTTCACGCAAGCATCAACATTCATCTCAGTGCTAGATACCTTTTGCAAGGTTGGTAGCCCTGCTTCCTTCTTAATGCTCAAGACCAGCCTTTTCCAACCTCTAGATAAGGGCACAAGTACATCTCTTTGGGTCCCAGAAATTGCTCAGGTGCTGAGCCCTTACCCCCAGGCTACAGCAATGGCTGGAAGGCAGGAGAAAGGGAAGAGTAGGATCACATGACCATTTCTTCTCCTCCATTGCCACAGTAACAGTTGTGAACTCTGAGGTCTCCCTTTACTTCCTTCAATACCCAAAGTATCCCATTGTTCCTCACAGTTCCTTACAGAAACCTGCATCATAATAAAACTGTATAAAAGCTGAACAAAGTAAGTGAAAAGATCATAATGTACATGCTGGAGCATCCTGTCATTGAAAAGCATTTGTTTCCTCAAGCTACCCGCCTTGCTTCATTTGGAAGAGGAATTCTGCTGTTGATGTTGGATATAGCTATGCATATATGGGAGAAATGGCAACCATCACATGCCCTGATTCCAAGTAGTTTAGGATTCTGAAGCAAAGCAAGGGAATCCATGGCCCTTTGGGTGTTGCTACGTGGCACAGTGCAGGTTAATTGTGGGGTCCCCTCTCCCTGAGGGTATCTGCCCATCCTACTAGGTTAGATAGGGTGGGTGCACCCTGTTCCCCTCCCTTAAATGTTGCCACCTGACGGGACCTTGGAGGAGTGCCTTTCTCTCAGCCCTTTGGAACAGCCTCCCATCTGAGATCAGAGGGATCCCTACTCTTTTAGCCTTCTGGAGGGCTGTGAAGACCTGGCTCTTTCCCCAAGCATTGGGCTAGGATGGGGGTTGAGCTGGAGGCCATTTGGTCTCTCATCTGGAGGGAGGGGTATTTTTGTTTTTAGCTATGTTTTAATGGATGTTGTGAGCCTGCCTAGAATCATTATATGAGATAGGCGGCCATATAAGTTCTGTAAATAAAATAAATGAACTATAACCCTATCAGTCCAGCCAATATGTCACTGAAATGGGTTGCAAGTTATAGTCCAGCAACAAATGAAGGGACTGAAGGCCCCACTTCTGTTATAAAGGTTATGTTCATTTTGATTTCATCCCTAAAACATCATGTGTTAGACTGGTGATCCATTTAGCCTATTGCTGGCTGCAAACCATTTAACCATGGTTACTGAATAAATCATGGGTGGGTGGTTCACAAACCATGTATAGTCATAAACCATGGTTTACTGTCTGCATTGCCTGGATTCACTCAACATGCTAAGCCAAAACCAAACAAATCATGTAAAGATTAATGCAATATATCAACACTGTGAATATCTGACTCGACTGGTTATACCGTCTGAGCTGTCATGAAAAGAATCTAAATAAATTCCATGAACTGAACCTGGAATTTTAGCACAAAGAACAAATGATTTACCAGCAAACTCTGGGCCCTCCTTTTCAATATTTAGGATGTTGCTTTGTACTAATTCATTAACTACTACAAAGGCTGGCTGAATTCACTCAATATGTTTAACCAGGTCAGTTTATAAAGTAGGGTCTACACATGCTTTACAGCATAAGCTTGGTTAGTTTTAATCTTGGTTTGTTTTGTTTGTTGTGCAGACCCAAGCAATTTGTTTAGTTTATGATTTAGTATTATGTGAAGCCATAACATGTTAATTCAGTAACCAGATTAAGTGTGTTGTGTGAATGTAGGGTTGATTGAACAGCCTTGATTGTGTGTGTGTAGAAAGACTCCAGCATCTGATGCAGGGAAGTGAGGGTTAGTTAGATTTATGGCTTCTGGGCCAGGCAGAAAGAAAACAAAGTTCGTTAGGTTTTATGACTATTCACAGATTTTCATCCCCAGTACTGGCTGATTTAATCAAATGACTCAGCAAAACAGAAAGGAGGAATTTTACATTGTGTTCTGAGGCAATAAAATGCAGCATGAAAGAGCCAAACCCCACATAAAGAGATGAGATCATAGAATGATAGAATGTCTTGAATTTTGTTTCACCTTGCAGCAGGCTCCAAATTTAATTGGAGAAGCCATTCTGGCAAAGAAGCTTCTTTAATATTTTATTTCTGTATTATTTTCCCTGATCTAAATTGTTTCCCCTTTCCATCTGCTACCAAGGAATTCCCCAGCTGAGTCTTCTGTTTTACCCATATCAGTGAATTCAAGACCCATGGGAGCAAATAAAAAGGTGTCTTTGAAGATACCACATGGATAAAAACTCCCTACCATGACTGAAAGGTGGGGAGTATATGAAACAGAAACGGGTTTGATTGATTTGGTTTGAGTTGATTTATAAGGCTGCCCAGGTCCGTGACAATTCTAAGTGGTGTACAGATATAAAATCCATACTAAAAAGATACTGTAAAAACCACAGGCATCCAGAAGAAGAAAAACCATTCATTCGGAAAACAATACTACACACAGAACCTGTCTAACCTAAGACATGGAGGAACAGCTTGGTTTTAGGCACCTCTAAATACAGAGTGGGGGCTAGGTGGATCTCAGGTAATATTATTCCAGAAGGCAGGAACTGTGACAGAGAAGGCATGTTTCCTAACTCCCATCAAATGACACTGCATAATGGATGCGACTTGGAGAATGCCAACTCTGCCCGATTGTATGGGATGGGCAGAAACTACGGAAGACAGATGGTCCCTTATGGCGTGAAAGGACTTTATAGGTGATAAACAAGACCTTGAATTGGATCTGGAAGCCTCCTGATAACCTTTGCGTGTTATTTATTTATTTATTTATTTGGTGCCTTTGAGTCAGCATTGACTCCTGACGACTGCCTGGACTAATCCCTGCAGTTGTCTTGGCAAGTTTTTTTGGGAAGTGGTTTGCCATTGCCTGCTTCCCAGGACTAAGAATTCACCCAGCTGGCTTCGTGCCTAAGGCGGGACTAGAACTCCCGGTTTCTAGCACTTAAACGCTACACCAAACTGGCTCTCTCTTGCATGTTATAGACTTATCCAAAGCTTTTCTCTGAATAATCCCAAATCAGTGCTCCAAACAGACCCAGTGCACAGCTTGGGGGTTCTTCTAGACTTGTGACTCCCGCTTAAGCAGTAGGTTTTTGGGGCCTTCCATTTCTGGGACTATGTCATCTTTGGTTCTGGATGGGGTTGCACTTCCCCAAACAGACTCGATGCACAACTCGATGCACACTATTCTAGACTTGTGACTCCTGCTCTTCGAGCAGGTGGCAGTCATGGCTAGGAGGGGCTTTGTGTTATGCGCCAGTTGCACCCATTCCTAGATTGGGAGGCTCTGCTCATAGTCACTCATGCCCTGGTCACCATCTGGATGGACTATTGTAATGTGCTCTTTTGGGGCTGCCCTTGAAGAGTATACAGAAGCTTCAACTGGCGCAGAATGCAGTGCCATAGCCAGTTATGTGTGCCCCTAGAATGGCACATGTTAAACCTCTGCTCCACAAGCTGCATTGGTTACCGTACCAGTTTGCTTCCAGGTCCAGTTCAAGGTGCTGGTTTTGACCCTTAAATCTCTTCATGACACGAGGCCAGGTAATTTGAGGTACTGCCTCTTCCCAATTATATCTGCCTGTCCCATCCGATCCGGCAAAAGAGGCATGTTGCAGGTCTGCTAAGGAGCTACATTTGGCAGGATCCAGGAGACATGCCTTTTCTACCATGCTGACTGCCTTATGGAACATCATCCCCCGCCCCGAGGGGAGGTTTGCTTTATCCCTGTTAACTTTCTGTAAGTCCCTCAAAACTTGGTTGTGTCATCAGGCCTGGGGGTCCCAAGGGAATGGTGAATTCCTGAGGTGCTTCACTTGTTAATATCTGTTGCTCTCTCCTTGCCTTAATATTATAATATTAATATTTTTAATTGTTGGCTATTTTTTATATTACTGTTTTATAGTTTTGTTTATTGTATACTGCCCAGAGTCATGTTTTGTGAGATGGGCAGCCATATAAATATGATGAATGAATGAAATGAATCAGTCAGTCAATCCCATTAGATTTTTCTTAGAATTTGACTGAATGGGTAAGTGGTCCATCTACATACAGTGGGGCAAAAAAGTATTTAGTCAGCCACCAATTGTGCAAGTTCTCCCACTTAAACAGATGAGAGAGGCCTGTAATTTTCATCATAGGTATACCTCAACTATGAGAGACAAAATGGGGGAAAAAATCCAGAAAATCACATTGTCTGATTTTTAAAGAATTTATTTGCAAATCATGGTGGAAAATAAGTATTTGGTCACCTACAAACAAGCAAGATGTCTGGCTCTCACAGACCTGGGTCCCTTTGCAGAAAAACAGCCCCAAAGCATGATGTTTCCACCCCCATGCTTCACAGTAGGTAGGTCCCTTTGCAGAAAAACAGCCCCAAAGCATGATGTTTCCACCCCCATGCTTCACAGTAGGTAGGTCCCTTTGCAGAAAAACAGCCCCAAAGCATGATGTTTCCACCCCCATGCTTCACAGTAGGTAGGTCCCTTTGCAGAAAAACAGCCCCAAAGCATGATGTTTCCACCCCCATGCTTCACAGTAGGTAGGTCCCTTTGCAGAAAAACAGCCCCAAAGCATGATGTTTCCACCCCCATGCTTCACAGTAGGTAGGTCCCTTTGCAGAAAAACAGCCCCAAAGCATGATGTTTCCACCCCCATGCTTCACAGTAGGTAGGTCCCTTTGCAGAAAAACAGCCCCAAAGCATGATGTTTCCACCCCCATGCTTCACAGTAGGTAGGTCCCTTTGCAGAAAAACAGCCCCAAAGCATGATGTTTCCACCCCCATGCTTCACAGTAGGTAGGTCCCTTTGCAGAAAAACAGCCCCAAAGCATGATGTTTCCACCCCCATGCTTCACAGTAGGTATGGTTTCATCTGACCATATGACATTCTCCCAATCCTCTTCTGGATCATCCAAATGCTCTCTAGCAAACTTCAGACGGGCCCGGACATGTACTGGCTTAAGCAGGGGGACACATCTGGCACTGCGAGAACTTGCACAATTGGTGGCTGACTAAATACTTTTTTGCCCCACTGTATATAGATAAAAGAGGAGGGCAAATATTTTGGGCTTGTGGGGTGGGTGGGTACTTTTTAAACTCAAAACATTTTGGCCATGGAGTGGTGTTCTGATGTGATGATGTCATTTACCAAGTGCAGTCCCTCCCCCCTTTAGCCTTGTTTTGCTCTAAGGGAGTTTAAAAGGTCAAACAGAGGCATAACATATCTATTTTGACCCCTCCGCCCTTCGCTCAATTTCAGCATCACACTCTAGGGGTCTTACAAGTTGTGTGCTGGGGAACTGCTTAGGATCAGGTGGTTGAGGCTTGCCATGAATGATTCTTGAGTACAGCCACCTTCAAGATGACCTTTGACCTAACAAGCCCTTTCTTTTCTTTCACAAGACACATGGGCAGAGAAGAAATGGGGGCACAATGTGACAGAGTTCCAGCTGCGTTTTGATGAGGTCTTGACAGGAGGCGAAGGCCCCAGGAGGCTGAAGAACCTTTATTTCATCTATCTAATTGAGTTACGGGCCCTCTCCAAAATCTTGCCCTTTTTTGAACGCCCCGATTTCCAGCTGTTCACAGGGGATGACGATCAGGATGTAAAAACCAAGAACCGCCTCCTAGAAATCCTCCATTTAATTAAGTAAGTTCAATTCATTTCAATGTGCTTCTTTTGAGTCCCCTCAAATATGATGTGCTGCTTTTAATTGTTTTTGCTTATTTATGGTTATTTAAAATGGATTGTTAGCCTCCCAGAATTGCATGTTGAGTGGGCAGCCATAAAAATTGAATAAATAAAAAAGTAAATAAAGTCTTTGGGATGATGGAATGATCATGCTGCGAAGAGTGGATCTTTATTCATTTTACTTGTGTTTTGCACCCAGTTCAAACAATGTTTTAATGTAATTCAATTATTTAATTCAAGGTATTATTGGAAGTCACTAAACAACACTGTAAATGATTTCTGAATTTTTGCACAATATTGGCAAATGCTAAATAATATTATAAATCCATTCATGTACTGTATATATATTTAAAGTATCCAAAAATTACTGACTTTTCTTCATCCTAACCACTAGAGGATGGAAAGATTCTTATATGAGGAGCAAAGAATTTAAGATAAAGTTTGCAGCCCATTTATTTGATAATATGCACAATGATACATTCATTGCACGCTGCATAAGAGAGCCAAACAAATAACATTCCAGACTGATTCTGTAACGAAAGCAGGCGTACAAATCAGGCATTCCAAGCTGCAAGTACTCAGAAAGGGCTTCCTTTGCTCTAACTTGAGTGCTGCTTATTAAATAATATAAGACCTCTGCACCTTTCCAGAACTATCCTTCCCATCTTTTTTTTTTATTATGAATAGGATCCATCATATCTAGATGAGCCACAGGTCCTACTAAAAACAATACAATAAGCGAACTGTGACTAGTTATGCTAACTTTAGTTAAATCAGGTCCTGCACCTTTAAACCAGTTGGCATTCATTTTAAATTTCCCAGCGTGCATATCTGATTTTAATGTTTAAAGTTATATGCAGGTGAAGAGAGCTGGACTCATCTTCACCTTGTTAAGGGGAGAGACAATAGTAGTGTTCCAATACTTGAAGGGCTGTAAGCCTGGGAAGAGGGAGTGGATTTATTTTCTGTAGTGCCTGAGAGCAGAACAAGAACCAACAGGTGGACATTTTATATAGAGAGATCCAAACTGACCATGAGAGTTCCCCGCCCCATCCCAGCCAATAAAGGTGTAAGGCAAGGTTGCATTTTGGCACCCACATTATTTAATGTTTACTTAAGTGATCTCCCAAAGGTGTTTGCTCAAACAAGTTTTCATAGACCAAAAGTAAGAAATAGGTCCATAAACATGGTGATGTATGCCGATGATTTGGTTCTAATGTCATTTTCTCAGATTGGTTTAAGGAGACAACTAAAAGCTCTATTGGAAT